GACTGGACCAATGCATCAGGAGTTGATGATCCAGAGCAGCCAGTAAGGCATTATATATGGAATATGGAAACAGGATAAATACTAGGGGAATCAAATTAAGAATAAGAAAAGGAGTTGAAAGGTTAGCCATGTGTTACTAATCCGAAGTTTTACTGTACGAGTACTGTTGTCGATCAGTTGTCAATAATAATAAGAATGATATTGTATCGATTTATTCGACTTTCTGGCTCCCCCCCCACTTGGTCATAATTACATTATGGTGATTTAGAAGGCTCACCCCCCTGAGAAACATGGAACGAAGACGCTTTTAATTTCTCTTCATAATGACCATGATCAATTTCAAATGAATTTGATTTCTCATGGATGGCTCTGGTGACCTCGCCAGTGTTCGAGCTTCCTTGGCAGTTTGGTTCCTCTTATGCTTGGGGGTTCGGCACAAGAAAATCAAAGACATTTTGATGCATTATTGTACCTCTCTTGACAGACTATGGAGATCAGCTGGGACTTGTTCCAGCTTCTATGGCATTCTATCTGCCCAGCTCCTTTGATTGTGTGACATACAAAGTAGATCGCCCGATGCCCATTGGCTGTTATCCACTATAAATAAATTAAGTGGAGGGTTATTTTCTTCATACCCTTTTTCCATTTTCTTCGCCCTTCAGGAAAACGAAAAAAGCAATGAAAGGAGACACCATCGAGTGAGAGATGTACATCTAGTCTACTTGATCACAAGCATTCCCGAAGATAAGAGTATTACCATTTATTATCCTCATCGAGTCGACCAGTAATAATAATGTCATGATGTCAAGAATGTGTAGAGAAATAATCAATGTTGTTATTGTGTTGGAATCCTGGTCTTGAAACTTCTGATACATGTCAAACTTTAGCCATAGCTCAGTCCTTGATTTCCCTCTATTTTGATTTGGGGATGTCTATCTATCCCGTGAGTAATGATTTTTACGTCCTGGGATAGTTTGTTGTACTTATGGTAGTTGGTCAAGGCACTGATTAATTCTTTTCTCTTCTTCACTGTTTTAATTCTGGAAGTCATCGTCACCGCCAAATGTGAGTAGCCAGTCTTGATCCAGAAAAAAGGCCCCGTACATTTAGTCCTAATATTTTATGGATTGTGTTTGTCACTAGTGTGACAGTACGGAGCAGTGGTCTTGTTTTTAAAGGGAACCCTGATTCAATCTATGCAATAATAATTGATTGCACTACGCCTGATTTGTAGGCCGTCCTAGTAAATCCAGTCAATCCACCCACTCTGTTTGGCTTCTGGTACTACTTTCATGCATCTAAACAAGTTCAATTGACCTCAGATACACTTTATCAGAAGTCAGAATGGAAAATAAGAGCTTACTCATGATCAAGAACTTGGCTTTCAATGTCCATCTTAAGGTGAATATCCACAATACTTACTCTCCTTGTATTATTATACTGCTGCATCTGCATCTGATACTGGAGCTCACTAACTTTAGTGCTGTTGCAAGTCCCTGCCTTGACCCATGGATTTGTTTGTTTTCTGATGACCACGAAAGTCAAAACTGGGTTTGCTCTACAAAACTACTAGTATCTTAGTCTACTCCGTACTAGTCTAGCGTTTAGCTGATGAGAGCTGTCCAAATTAATTTGCATCTACTCCGTAGTCTATTACTTAGTCTATTTTATTTATTTTTTTTACGCTTCATTTTACCCTTACCCTGCCTATCGCAAAGAGATTAAGTATTTTCCTCATCTAGATTGTTTAACATTTAATCTCAACTTACCTGTCTAGGAGTAGACTACTAGTTACATACTTCAATTAGTATCGAAACTCAATCCTTGTTTTCATATCAGTCCAACCACCAGAAATCCCTTGCGTCAACCGTTACCACTTGTATTCATCTACTCCAGAATAGTCACCCTAGCGGGCGTCAATCAACAACAACTGGGGGGTCCACGGGAAATTTCCAATGGTCTAGAAAGCAGAAAAACGGGCAAAGTGCAGCTAAGACAGCCACACTAGCAGTTTGTTTTTCTTCTTTTCTGCTTTTTTGGCTTTTTGTGACTCTATTGGTGAGCTTGGATTGTACTACTTCGATCTCGCTGCAAACCCACCCTGCAAGTGTAGGTAAGTCTTGATTTTTCAGTCCTGTATTTTCCTTATTTCCCTCCAATCTCCAGTGTCCATTGCCTCTCTATAATTCTTCTCTGTTCTTTCATACCTTTCATACTTTTCTTGCCCTCCTTCAAAGTACTCGCTCATATAATCGTCTAACACTCTGTTTACATTTTATCTAATTGATAATACTTGCATCTCTCTGTTCTCGTCTTTATTTGTCTCCATCTACGCATCCCCTTCTTTGCGAGGCGGTTTAATTCTCGTCGCGACTACAAAGCCAGCCCACAACTGACTGCATGCTCTTCGATACAGAGGAGAGATTCAAGTAGACTTGAACATTAGTAAAGTCTGAAACCTCATTCATCATGACGGTGGCCGCACCGCCTCCAGTGCCTCCTCCTGTTCACGAGCATGGCATCAATGGCCTTCCTGGCCATGCTGTGAACATGAGTCTGCCGCGATTCCACCCAATCGCAATGAATCCAAACCAACCTATCCCTTCAGAACATGCCATGCAGAATCACCACCATCATTACTACCGGCCGTTTCCCCCTCCGCCGCCTATGCAGGAGCCTGGTCCGTCTGGCCCTCCAGGCCCTCCCGGTCCCTCTGGTCACCCTCCCTCTATAGACCATATTGAAGCTCGGTTGAGGCAATTAGAACAGGAGGAGGCTGCACGAATGGCGGCCCGTAGTCAACTACTGGCGATTCGGAAACGGGAAGATGAGGAGTTTCGTAGGATGACTGAGCATGCTGAACTCGAAGAAGAGGTATGATATGCATTGTGATGTCGTGGACCTTCAGTGACATAAACCGCTGATTCTCTTCTCCAGGAGCTTCGTAGACAAAGAAAACGTCTAAAGAGAGAGTCTATGGGACTAGGGTATAATGCAACTATTGACTCGCCGCCCCTGCGGCCCACGCCACCTCGTCGCTTGTCAGAAACGAATGCAGCCACGACCCTTGCGTTCTTTAAGCAACAGAGCCCCCCCGAGCCACGTCCTATTCCGCAACAACCACCGGCGGTGCAAGCGCCCCCACCTCACCATCCTCCACCACAACATACACATATCCAGCATGACCCGTCAGCGACCAATGCCATCAGGCGGAAACAGAAATACACTATTAAGAATGTAGAGGCTTGGGGGGAACGCCATGGACGTCCCGCAGCACATGATCCTTCCGGACGAGCGTTGTGGAAGCGGCCATCCGACGGCAGCTTGGTCTATCTGACATGCCCGGTTCAGGGCTGCGGCAAAGCTGATTTTGTGACCCTTCACGGCTTCATGTGCCATCTGACGAAGAAGCACAAGGACCGCAGCCTGGGGAGCCAGTCTAGGGCGTTGGAAGTCTGCGGTGTGGTCTTTGACCCCAATGCTCCTCTCCCGCCTGTCTCTTCAGTGAATCGTGCCTCGACTGAGGAGAGCCGTGTGGAGTCTGCCCCGGCGGATCCGGACAACTACTCCAACGACATGGAGTATTCGTCTGCTTCTGATGAAGAAGGCCGGGAGCGGTGTCCTGTGAAGTCCGAGCCGACAGAGCGACCTCTGCCCACCCCGGCAGCGTCTCTACCCACACCCGAAGAACCCACAACACTTCAGAAACCGAATGGCTTCACGAAACAATCTATCTCCTCGATCATTGATCGAGATCCTACCGCTGAGCAACGAGAAAGCTTGAGTTCTGTGGTTCCTCACACCTCTCCACGAATGTCGCCAGTTGTATAGGGCTTAATAATCCAGCAAAGAGAGAATTGATTCCTAATGGTACCATTGAATGAATACACAGAGCTGAAGAAACTACACGCAGCGCGCAGACCTAGCTTTATATCCCTTGTGGCTAACGGTCTCATGAGCTAGCGGCGGAACCAGGCATTGTAAACTAATTATGGGACTAGGACATTGGAAATAAATAGTCATAGGCCTAGCTGGTATATGCCTGCATGTCTATTTGTTAGTATGTTAGTTTGAGATCCTGATAATAATAGGCCTTGAGGAAACTCTTAAGTTCATTTTAGGAATTGGTGCAATCTACTTGTATGTCTATGAATATGTATAGTTGTGATAGCCTGTATATTGCCTTGAGTGAGGACTCCTATTACCGTGGTAAGTTACCTCCTCTTGTTGTGACTTCGCAGCTAACATTGGAAAACCTATCACTAGGACACCGCCGCCTCCCGCGGGCACTCCTGGGGCTCAATGGGACGATCCATCCACTCGCCATCTGGGAGTCTCTCTGCCTCCGCGGGAGCTATATACAACTTACAAGAACAAAGGACGTCCGTCTCAGAATCCTTACAACCACGCTCCCCTTCTCGAGGCCTTCTTTATCCATGTCTGTGCTGCAGTGTTGCGCCTAGCTCTCTTTATGTTGGCCTTTATTCATGAAGGCCCATCTGCAACGCTTCATTTACGATGCAAGATGAATGGTTTAGAACTAAATATTGACAGTTTCAACACCCCCAGGTAAGGCGTAGGCGCTGTGACGATAAGGGCAGTTTCTCCCTCTCTCCCTTCTCTCTTCTCCTCCTCCTTGATAACCTCGTCAACTTCTTCCTGGTTGTGCATTAGTTTCCTCTTTGCGGACAGCAACCTCAACCCATCAAAGCAATGAAGGGGGGATAGTACAGTTGCCTTTATTAGTCAGGTAACTAAACTGCTGAAGTGGTGCCTGACCCTAGGGCCTCAAACCTAATTGCCAATGACGTTATAGCGCATCTTCCACTTAAGGTACTCTATCCTCTTCCTCTCGTCATCTTGACTCGTTAACTGTCATGACAACATCAAGTATTGACTTCCCCATTAGAATATTTCTGTCCACAGGCGGTCGCCGTAATGGAGCTTTTCTCACCTAATCTGAGACGCCAGGAAGATTGTGATGCCCCTGCCACGCCATGATGTCTTGTGCACGCGCGCGGAATGTGTGGTTTTACAATGGTTTAACCCATGAACTCCTTGGTGGTGTGCAACAAAACGGATCAATCACGAATGAAAACTTTTTCGAAATGCTCACAAGCATATTACTCATTGTTGACACACCAATCACTATTTATTCAAGAGCCACTGGCCAGCCAATCCTGCTGAATGACGAACCCTTACAAAAAGGACACTATGATATCTTTTGTGCTGGAGGTAAGTACAGAGCAGAGTTTATTGCAAACATCCAGGTGATCAATGTGGTAAAGCAGAGCCTGGCAGCCACGGCCAACATATTGGCGATGTGATGGACTATAAGAACGTACAAATGCCACAGCGAATCTGAATCTAGCTAACATATTAGGTGACATCAAACTCACTGATGAGACACCCGTGCTCCGGACATGCTCCCGTAGCCAAAGTGGTCAAGAGACCTCTTTCACGGCTGGAGTGCGGGCTCGTGACAGAAGATGTGTCTTGTCTGGACTTGTAAACGTGGCACCCGATCTTGATGACTGGACTGGATTTGAAGCAGCCCATATCTTTCCTTTGGAGAAGGAAGATATCTGGAACGAAGAAAATTTTAGCCGCTGGATTACAAAGGCCACAACGGGATATAGCACGCCTATTAACTCAATTCAGAATGGCATATTGCTTACTGCTGCGATGCATGATGCTTTTCTTAAGTATCTAGTTTCTGTGAACCCCGATGTGAGTGATTTTACTGCTTGGCGAGCTATTAACCTCTTACTCATCTGCCTTTAGGATGCCTACAAAATCATTTACTTTGGTTATGACCACTTTGATGTCGACGGCAGAGCGTTGGATCCTGTATGCCGAAAGGAAAATGATCCCAACCGTGTTGCAGACGAATTGCTCCGCTGGCACTTTCGCCAGTCCGTCCTAGCGAATATGAAGGGGATTGGGGAACCCATCTGGGAACACGACTTCCCCCCAGGCACAGATATGATCAAAGAGATCGTCCAGGGGCCAAAGCCAGCAGAGCGCATGGAACTGGAGCTCTGTTCCCGGCTTCGAGGTTTCCGGGGATGTCAGCACTGATCGTGCATGCCGAGACCCATCCCAACCATGTTGCAAAGGAATTGCTCCGCTGGCACTTTCGCCAGTCTGCCCTAGCAAACATGAAGGCGGCGGGCGAGCCGATTTGGGAGACTGATTATCGTCCTGGCACAGATGTGATGAAAGAGATTGTCCAGGACCTTAGTCCAGCCCAGCGCATGGAACTAGTGTTATTTTCCCGCCTTCAACGATTCCAAGTGGACAACTCGAGATTTGTTCATTAGTGGGTTAAATCAGATTTGATTATCTGAGATATCAGCATAGGCATCCATTCGCCTGTAATCTCCTCCCTACGCATCACCTCTCAACAGTAAAAGATGCACAACGTAGCCTGTCCCCGATTTGAGCCCCTCACCCAGCGCCTCATCGCTCAGCCGCCACACGCGAAACACCCTCAGGGTCTCCTGCAGCCACGCCTCGAAGACATCCGGAGACCGCTGCTGCTGCGCAATAATGCAGATCGTCGAGGGCCGGCTCGCTCGTCGCCCGGCCGTATGAACCGGCCTTAAGCGACAGAAATCCGCGCACGTGCGCACAAACGGAGCAACAAGCGCCTCGTTGTAGATACAATCGCACGATATGAGGACATCGAACCCTTTATCGTCCCCTTCCTCGTCGTCATGGTCATCGTTCCCAGAGAGCCCGATACTATACTTCAACGACGCCGGAACATCCAGTTCCCAATCCAGCGCGGCAAAGGTGATATTGGATGACCCTGGCCCGTCTTGCTTGCGCGCCGGTTTCTGCTGTCCCGCCGCCCGCTTCTTTCCTTTGCTCTTGGGCTGGGGCTTTGTGGTGTTTGGCGTCGCTGTGGTCGTGTTGTTTTCGAGGTTCTCACGGAAAAGTCGGTGGACGTATTCCTGGTCTGTTGCTACGTAGTGCCGTATCGATGGGCCGAGAGCGAGCGATATCAGGCCTGAGATGCCGCAACCGAGCTCAACGACTGTCGAGGACGAGGTCAGGAGAGAGTGTTTCCAGAGAGGGTTTGACTGAGCGTCTGAGATCCATTCTGCGAAGGCGGGGGTGATTTTCCATAGGACTGGGATGGGTTAGCTGATTGGTTTCGGAGAGCGGGATCTGATGGAGGGGGTGATTCACCTGCGCCTGTTGTTCCTCCTGCTCGAGACGAGGAGAGGAGGGTGGGAGATTGGCTGATCGAGTAGTCTTGACCGTGGATGGTCACGTCGACGGTTGTCGCGCGGGAGTCGACGAAGCCTAGGTTCGCGGAGGGGATGTCTCTTGAGAATAGGAGGAAGGATTCTGGAGGTGATTAATTTTTGATTTCCTTTCTTTTTTCTTTATCTTTTTTCTTCTCTACTATGGCTCATGGCTCAGCTACAAGTACATACCCTCTTCGGCATCTTCCACCTCCTCGCCAATAGACGAGAGAAAATGATTCAGAACCTCTGTCTGATCCATACTACCTTGCTGAGTTTTACCTCTGTGCGAGTAGTTCAGTCACAGTCTAGGCATAAAGTCTAGGCATAAAGCTCCTGCGGATAAGCTTCGAGGATTGAGCTCCGAGCTGTTCTCTAGCGAGCTACCTACGCATAATTAGTCGCTGTTGTGTCAAGGATAAACGGCGTAGCGCCATGTACCCTGTAAATCAGAATTTTCTCTTGTCTCAGAGCTTGTGACTTCTGAAGATGCACACTCCGAGGGGAATGATCGGGAACAAAGATTGATTACCAGTTTTCAAAGCTATGAAGCTATCCAGAAAGAAGAACAACTGATTGGTCGAATCTCTAAAAATTCTGGTCTGGGGTTAAAAGAGCTTCAGGTCACGGGACCAGCGCTGTGGCAGGCAGCGTGACCAGTCGTCATCTGTTCAGTCGATGCGAACCTTGGTCCAGGAACGAATGAAAAAGTGTACAAGAGTCTCTACCAAGTCTCCAAGTTGCCTAGGTTGCCTACTGCCTAGACTTATGGCTTAGAGGTCGACCATGATTTGAGTCTGTCATTGTGTTGGGCAAAAGTCCCAACAAAAGGAGAGCGATCGTCGGAACTGAGCTTTCCCCGTCGACAGGTCGCTTCCATATACTGCGACGGACAAGACATCTGAGCAGACGTGAGACAACGAGGAAACTAGAGCACTTGATGCTTGTCGTGAAGTAAATTAATTATCCACAGGTTAATCTCAATCCATGATCAGAAGCGATCTGTTCGGCTGTATTGATGCTCGAACCGCGGCATAGCTCCCAGCGAACGGTTACAGTGCATGCAACTTTTGGATCTTCCCTACTTGGGCTTGCTCAATCAATATCGTGGTGCAAAATATTCAGAGTTAAAAAAAAAGGAGCTGAGTATTCAATAGAGTTCATAGAGAAAAAGCAACGTGGATCAAACCGCTTTGTTGTTGATTTTGCTTGCTGCTGTCCCTGTAGCGTCATAGTAGCCAGGGCCGCAGCTTGGGCCCCGTCAAGAAACCCCAGCCACAAACACTAGGTACCTTAGGTTCTGACTTCATCCGTAGCAACTCGCTCGCCTGCGCGGCTTCATCCTCCTATCCCCTCTCTTTCTTCCTAGGCCCAGACTTTCCCCCTCTTGGTCTTCTTGAGTGTCTGCGCTTTGTCCCTATATATTTTTGAACCCCTCTCCACTCCTCCTCGATCCTTCTCCGGCGTTCCTACCTCTCCTCTTGCATTTAACGTGAATCTCCAGTCCTGTACGTCTTGGAAAGCTTTATGACCACCCCCAATTCATCACTTACATTTCTATTTTGTCATATTGTTCTTCGAAAATATCCGTGAGATTGCGGTGATTGCAATAGCTGCTGACGGTTTCGGTCAATCAAAATAGGAGCTGTTAGTACCTTTTCTAGCCGTCCGATCCTCGTCGTACAGCTCCCCGGATCTTCGTGATCGCAGTTCAAAATGTCGAAGCGAGACATCCAGCTCCAACCCCGGATGTCCAAGAAGCCTCCATTCACAGTGGAGGCTTCTGGCTACGAGCCCGTACCGGGAGAGACCATCCCTCGTAGATTGCCACAGGCCAAAGACAACCTCATCCTGCGGCCCGCGGAGGACGTCGCAACTACCTACGATGTTTTCAGACGGTCCGCGCGCATGTTCGGTAACGCAAAGGCCGTCGGTACTCGTCGCCTTATTAAAACTCATGTGGAGAACAAGAAGGTCAAGAAGATTGTCGACGGTGTGGAGCAGGAGGTTGAGAAGCAGTGGACGTATTTTGAGATGAGCGGTTATACCTACAAGAGCTTCGTTGAATATGAACGCCTTGCGTTGGAATTGGGTTGTGGGTTGCGCAAGCTGGGGTTGGAGAAAGATAACAAGATTCACCTTTACGGTGCAACAAGGTGAGCTTTACCGGCAGTATTTATAGAGAGGAATGATCGCTGACATATATCTCTTTCAAGTGCACATTGGCTGGCCATGTCACACGGTTCGTTCACCGTTTCCTGCAGCCCCTGCGATGGGCCACTGACTAATATACTTGAATCCAAACAGGAGCTGCATCTCAATCATTGACGATCGTTACTGCATACGACACTCTTGGAGAGGAGGGACTGAAGCACTCTCTGGTCCAGACGTCGAGTCTTGCTATCTTCCTCGACCCCAGTCTTATCCGTTCTCTTACCAATGTTCTCGCCGATGTTAAGTCTATCAAGCACGTTGTCTACAACACCGACCAGGAGGTTAAGCAGGCGGATCTGGACAAGCTCAAGGCCGATTTCGACTACTTGAACATCATGAGCATTGAGGACTTGCGCAAGCTGGGAGAGGAGAACCCTTTCGACCCAGTTCCCCCGTCTCCCGAGGACCTCTGCTGCATTATGTACACCTCCGGTTCCACGGGTCCACCAAAGGGTGTGCCTCTGACGCACAAAAATGTCATCGCTGCCAGTAAGTTAGCAGATTTGAAAATATATTGGGGACCGACGGAGTTAACGCGTCTCTTCTACAGCTGCCGGTGTCAATGCGATCGTTGGCCCTTACATCGGACCCTCCGATGCCCTGCTTACCTACCTTCCCCAAGCGCACATCCTGGAGTTCATGTTTGAGAACCTTTGCTTGTTCTGGGGTGGCACAATGGGCTACGGGAACCCCCGAACTCTGTCGGATACCTCGATGCGCAACAGCAAGGGTGATATCCGCGAATTCAAGCCAACGATTCTCGTCGGTGTCCCGGCTGTCTGGGAGTCAGTGAAGAAAGGTGTGCTCAACAACTTGAACAAGGCCAGCTTCCTTGTAAGGGGCCTGTTCTGGGGCGCAATGTCCGCAAAGACCTTCCTGATGACAAATGGATTCCCGGGAGCCAGCACGGGTGCCTCCATTCTGGATGCTGTCGTGTTCCGTAAGTTGAAGGAAGCTACCGGTGGTAAACTGCGTATTGTAATGAATGGCGGTGGCCCGGTCTCTAAGGATACTCAGAGGTTCCTCTCTATGGCCATTGCCCCCATGATCAGCGGCTATGGTTTGACCGAGACCTCCGCTATGGGCGCTCTGAACGACCCTATGGCCTGGAACCCGGAAGCCCTGGGTGAAATACCCGGATGCATTGAAGTCAAGCTCGTCGATTTCCCGGATGCCGGCTACTTCACCAAGAATGATCCGCCTCAGGGAGAAATCCTCATCCGCGGTGGTAGTGTGACCACGTACTATTGGGACAATGAGGAAGAGACCAAGGCCGCCTTCACCGAGGACGGCTGGTTCAGGAGCGGTGATATTGGCGAGTTCGACAAGAACGGCCATCTGAAGATCATCGACCGCAAGAAGAACCTGGTCAAGACGCTCAATGGGGAGTACATCGCTTTGGAGAAGCTCGAGTCTGTATATCGTTCCTCGCCCGTGGTTGGCAACATCTGTGTCTACGCCGCCGAGGACCAGGACAAGCCCGTTGCCATCATTGTGCCCGTTGAGGTCGCCTTGAAGAAGATCGCCAGTGAGAATGGCATTGAGGGTGACAGCCTCGAGTCGCTGGTTCACAATGAGAAGCTGAAGTCCATTGTCCTCAAGCAGCTCCAAAGCGCTGGCAAGGCTGGCGGTCTCAAGGGTATTGAGATCATCAATGGAGTTGTGTTGTCTGATGAGGAGTGGACACCTCAGAATGTAAGTTTTATGACCCTCTTTTTCGAACTACGAGCTGACCATATACCAGGGTTACATGACTGCGGCCCAGAAGCTGCAGCGCAAGAAGATCATCAACAAGTTCAGGGCCGACATCGACCGTGCCTACGGCAAATAGTAAGACGTGGATGACTGATGAATTTGTTGCCTTTTTTTCCTCCATAATTAGTGTAGAAAATTATTTTTTATTGGTCTGTCCCTAGCACACTGCTTTGCTTTCATGTCATTTTCGTCACTTGTGCTTAGTCGCAGCTTTCGTGCCTCGGGAGCCTGTGTCTGTTTACCGATTCCCTGCTAGCTGGACAGAAATGTGTTTTGAGCGATATGCCATCTTGTCCCCTACCAGTATACAGATGGAGCGCTACGGCTCTATTGGACGGTCGAACTTAGTCCTAGGGTTGATACAACTAGTTGCTCGTCTAAGTAATCGACGCAGGTTCTCTGGCTTCCGGTTTGGAATTTACGCCTGCTTGTTCTGAGCGACCAAGACACTGTTAATATTAATATTAGTTCAATCCTCTTCCACTGCACTGATCAGTATACCATGCCTGACTGCCTGAGGCAGAAAGATGTCTACGCTATACCGAAAATAGTAAGCCCCAAACCAGACTACAGGTATGCTCCTCGGCCAACTTCATTCAAGACTCCAAGAGAAGTTAGAACAACCAAAGGCGCAGCGCATTCACAATGAGTCTCTGGAGGTACGCAGTACGCAGCAGACATTGGCACCCCTGTACAGATACAAGACTAACACTTGGCTGGTACAGCTCCTATCGTTCACTCACCCCCAAGACCCGGGCCCTCTTCGGCGTCGGCCTTATGGCCTGGGCATCTCTCGGATTGTGGCTCTCGCCGCAGGTCGAAAACGCGATGGGGATGGTTCCCAGCGCCGAAGAAAAGGAGGAGTTGGAGAGGAAGTTGGCGCTTCGGGTGTCGCGGGTTGAGAAGGGGAATTAGATCGGTGGAATCTCGATATGGGAAGAAAGATTTCGGAGAGCGAGGGATGAAGTCGATACGCTGGTTGGCGGTTGCCGGCTCATCTGTGTCGGATGACCAGCTACATGACTTGTCTACGTGGACCACGGTGATATACCGAGCGCAACGATGGGAGAGGAACATAGCCTGGTGGTTGGTTATCCGCGGGCGTAAGAGAGGCTATCGGCAACGGACACCAGGAATATGAAGAACAGAATGCGGCCCGACTACGTAGCCGTGTACGCTGCGCGCCGTCACTGATGATCATGTCCTCTGGTATCACGTGCCATCAAGCGTCAGGAGCCGTTTGGCTAAGCGGCACAGCATTCGGAGGCCGTTTCGTGCAACGACGGGGTACTGGTGCGGAGATTTGAGCGAGACCGGACGGGATGAAGGTGGTTGGGAATTAAACTGAGAGGAAGGGGCTGTCGTGGGTCTTGTCGAAGCATGAGGATGTGGTTCCATGAGCCGTTGATGAAGGACAATGGGGTACTTGGAGGAACGTAGCGAAGCATCAAGTGCGGAAACGCAACGAGAACTGCCAGTTGGCTACAGAGCTGCACAAGTCAAGGTCGTTGCCCACTTCTTGCCACACTCTCTGGAAGATGCCACGATGCGTCGGATCGGTCATCAGCCAAGGCCACACATGCATGAGAGAATAACCGTGATGTCATACCCCAACATGATTGAATGTTGATACTCGTCTAGAAGCAAGATACCCCCGTATGGAAACACCCAAGAATGAAGCAGAGCGGTGGCACACACGCAGATTGGGCGCTGGATGCAACCGTTGCACTAGGATCCTGGTGCCCATCTGCTGATCGTAGTACAAGTATGAGTGCTTTGCCCTGCTTGCCCAGCCTGCCCAGCCTGCAGGAGCAACAATGGAAGAATAGTGTGGGAGCTGGGAAGGCTGGGGCGCTTGCTTGACTACCGTGGAGAGAAGAATCCTGAGTCACTCTTGCACGACCACCACCATGGCCCCCCTTGTACCACATGCATATTGTGGCTTCGCTTTTGATTCTTCCAGAGTCCGTATCTAGCCTCGGATTGGGAGGTGCCTTTTGCATCAGTGAGGGATACGTTGACCATATTTAGGCTCGGGCCATGGGTAATAGTATTCAGAGCTAAGGTAGACAGTTCGGGAGATACGGCCTTGGAAATAAGAGGTTCTTGTATGTACTAGTTCTATACAATACAGTACACGTCTTCCTGACAGACAGGAAAAACAGAAATAGATGCAACTGCAAGGACTGGATTGTACGGACCCTGCTGATGTCAATCCATGATGATGGACGACTATGAATCAGTGAAATCATAAGTTGAAACCTGCATAATTGGACACCAAGGTGACAAAGTCATATCCTTTGTTTGAACTAAGCTAAACTACGGCTGTCTCGTCGATCATGATCGCCCTGGAGTGCACTAAAGACAGCCCACATACAGTAGTAGACTAGTAGACTAGTAGTCTCGTTAGTCTCGTTAGCGCCTATTTTCGTTCTTTGAGGCTTCTCGCTCCGTATTCTTAGTTACTTACTGCTGCATGATTTCCTACCGCCGTACGGAGTACTGGTTTGGAATCCTGCAGCTTCCCTTTCATATACGTTTCCGCGACCATCCCGAGTCCCAACCCTAGGTTGGTCTGAAAAGTCAAACCGTACGCCGTACTCCGTAGTAATGACAAAGGGAAGGCTGAAGTTTGCCAACGAAGAAACGCAATCAAAAGGGGGGGCTGGTCGCTTGAGAGGCTTGAGCGAGGCGCCTCACCCAAAGAGGTTGTTGCTACTTGCTTCCGGACTCCAGTTTTTCGTGTCCTGTATGGAGTAGATACTTAGCTAGATACCTAAAGGCAGACACACCGCTGCGGCAGTGCATGTCGATCGTAGCATGCATCCATTGGCCGCCTTCTTCTGGATATGGTTTCCTCCTCTTCTACCACTAGAAAGAAGCGGTGACCCTCGAAGTAGCCACGATAGATAGACAAGAGCTCAGTCGCATGTGTCTCATTCTCCATCTCGATCCACGCAAGGTTCTGACTCCTAGGTCCTAGGTCGCACAGGTAACAGCAGAAAGTGACAGCGGAACGGCCCCTGGGGCAATCACAACAGGAGCAAATGGACGTATCGGAGAAAATACAAGGGTTTTGACAGGGTGCGAAACTTGGGATGGATTGCACAAGGTTTGGAGCCAATTGATCCTTTTCCCTGCCAATGTCACTGTTCTTTTGGAGGTGCGCCTGCTCCGTATGGTGTCCCTGATGTCGATCCTGTTGATCCTTGAATCATGCCTTTTCTTCTCTCTCTAACAAAGCACACTAGACAATTATGTGCTAGAAAGCAAGGTGGCGCCTCGATTTCCCCAAACAGGTGATTGGTTGCATGATGGATTCCTTTCTGTACTGTGGCTGCTTGTGCAATGCAGAGCTTGGATAGATCCTCGGTGAATCCTGACACATTCCCAACGTCAAACAAACACCGGCGATAATGTGTATACTGCGAGTAGACATGGCTTGGTTATACATTATTATTCCGGCTATCTTTTTTTTGCCCAAAAAATCCAAGCCTCCTTTTATCCTTACGGAGGAGACGGAACTGAAGAAACACAAAGTGAGAAAGGAAACTGAGAAACAGTACCTAGCCATTTAGGAGAACAGGATACGTGGCAAATATCCAATCAGACGCTAACTTGTCATGCCATTTCTCGCTAACGTGATGGATTTGTTGTCGATCGACTCAATCTGTCGGTCTAATGTTCGCGCAGATGTGAGCCGTCTAAACTATGCTGGACATTTGTGTAGGTTGAACCTAGAGGGTAGAAATTGACACAGAAAAGGTAAAAGTAAATCTGGAAATAAACACGCTCACAATTTTAAGGAGCAAACAAAAAAGCCGCAAAAGATTGAGAGGGAGAAGGGGGGGAGAGTATGTATGGCAGGCGGGTTGCGCTCCCATTGCTAAGCACGCAGACTCTGCGAGTTCGAAAATCGATAATAAGGACTGTCATTGCTTGAACGAGAGGGGCCGAGGGGGTCATAGCCCCTGGATGTAGGGATATGTTGAAGCTGCGGCGTCAGACGAGTGGGATGTTTCAGAAAATGCGAGGGTTCACTGGCTTCGCTCGAGAATATTGAAGTCATTGAATCAAATGACTCGGGGTAGCTGTTGCCGGACTCCTCACTTCCCCTAGACAGTGTATCATACTCAAATGGCGGTAGATGCGTGCGGAAATGGCTGTCGGGTTTACGGTCAAGCAGACCGAAACCACCGTCGGGGTACCCGTCCAGGCTTGACGGGCTTTTGATTGTTCCTAGCGGATCCATGGGATCATTCAGAATCCCAATATCAAATGCAGACGACGAGGATGACGAGATGTGCGGACTATCACTCAGTGGGGACGGCTCCGCCATGTGTTGATACTCCGCTCGACCGTAATGAGACCCTCCGCGTGAAGTCGGATCGAACGACATCATCAGATGCGATCTCGCCCCTGGTAACAGACCTGCTGTCACACTGCTATCACCATAGCCACCATTACCCCCGTCCGGACCCATGCTCGTCGAACTGTCTCGTCGACCGTCCTTGTAATGACCTGGAGAACGACCCCGGACCACCATGGGATGCGAAAGTTTCCTAGCAATCTTCATCCATTGCGTCTCACTTCCGTTGTTAGGATTTGTAATCTCCGCATAGAGCTCGACAACCAAGTTGTAGTACTGCTGCTGCGCCCGGCGTTTGCCGTTGTTCGCTGTCGCCTTCTGGAACTGAATACGCTCGAATGTGTGCTGTGTCGGCGGTTGTGATTGCTGCGGAGCGCCGGTGTATGAAGAACTGTAGTCCATTGACAATGCAGCCGATTGAGAGTTCAGCGCAAACGCGTGCTGCCCACCACCACTAGTCGTTGTACCGTGATTGAGAAGCAATGGCGGCGGCTGGCAAGGTTGCAGGACGACTTTCCCCGGCTTCCTTTCGGATTGCTTGTCACGTTTCGGAGTGTGTTGAACCAACTCTCGAATCTCACCATACTGCGCATTTACAACTGCCGATATGCACATGGAAAACTTTAGGATGCGCTCCGTCGTCTGATCAGAAACCTTCAGATAAAGAGGAGCACGCGTCCATGGATGTAAGGAAAACGAGCAGGAGACCGAGAAATAGTTCCGTCGATAACAGGTCCATTTCTCATCCACTTGGAAGAACCCTTTATGTATCTTGGCGTGAATCTCCGGTTTTATGGCTTGACTGCCTGCAACTATCGGCAAAAGTATATTAGTATCGTGGAAAGGAGGTGCGTCCGCTACCGGCTGGGGTAAGCGCTGTTGGGAGTCCGTGTAAATATTCCCAGTCTGTCCGAAGAAGAGATTGTGGGGGCTATCAAACGTATGATCGAGGCCTCGTGGAGTACTTGTATACGAAGAAATCCTCGGCATTTCGCTCAAGCTCGAAAGGGACGGACATGTACTTCCCCGTTGAAGGGCGTACTGTGTTGGATAATTCTCATGGCGACCGAGGATTGACGAAGTACTGGAAAGGCCCTGTCCTTGTGACTGAAGAGCGGACGACAGCCCGGGCGGCGGCTGACTAGGAGGACTGGTCAGTACCATCGACATCTTTCAACGGATCTGGTATAGACAAGCAAACTGCTAGACCTACAGTGCAGGCACACGATGTGGCCGAAAGTCCGGCATTCTCTCGTATGGCGAGCTGGTTGAATGTGAATAGATAGAGCCTGATGCAGGAGAAAATGGACCTGACAAGAGGTATAGAGCATTAGCAAGAGCTGTTATAGCAGATCTTGACTGAACAGAACGAACAGATCGAGTTTTCTTGTTCCGAAACAAAAGAGACACATACCGGAGCATGGATCAGAATGGTTCATAAGAGGTGATGCCCCAAAACTGAAAGGAGTAAACCTTGTCAGCAAAATGACCGAGTCCTAATTTGGTGCCAAAAGCTGCGTCTTCAACCGGGGAAAATAAGGCAAACGAAGGGAACAACATAAGATGCCCCTCATCCTGGAAGGTTCTGCGTATATAAGAGACTCGATCCGGAGTTGATGGGAGGCTTCTGCGACAGCATGATGAAGACATCAAATAGCAAGACCAGCAAGGAACAGAATCCAGAGGCATGCAAGTCCAATGTGCTCAAGTACAGGATTTTGGAAAAAAAGAAAAAAAGAAAAAGAACGCGAAAAATGGAAAATGGAAAATGGAAAATAGGGAAAACAGCAGAGGGGCAAAAGAAGCAAGCACCTAGAGAGTGTCTGGACAAGAAAGGTACTGTACACTGTGACTAGTACCAGGCAGGCAAGCGGGCCAAGTGGAGCACAAGAGCAGTCTGAATTGAAAGACAACTTACGCTACATCCTGCATTGCAGACTGTTGTGCGCTGTACCTCAAGCCGTTGGTGGCAGGGATCGAGACTGGCTGCGCTAAGGAAGGGCCAATAGCACCGTTTCGTCGGCGGTTGTCCTCATCGTCGATAGAAAAGCCAGTATGGCCAGCAAATTGTCGTGGTGCCCCGGTATAATCACTGTCGCTGGTGACAGGGCCCTCCAGGAACGGGCTCTGCAAAAGGGTTGCTGGTGGACAAGATAAGGGTCAGGGACCGGAAGTACAGCACGAGCAGGACACGCCATGGTATGAAAACAGAACAAAGAAATAATGCATTTATGAGAAATGGTGCGTAGCGAAAAGTAAAAAAAGAAAAAGAAAGGACAAAGAAAAAAACAAAATTAAAATTGGAAATACTAAAAGAGGGGATTGCTCAAGCTTCGCCTTGTCCGAAACAGGCGACATCCCTGTCGCCAAGGATCACCGTAAGGCTTCGTACTGTTCACTACTTCCACGATAAAGATTTTGCAACACCTCGTACCAAGGAGGTCAATTGAGATAGCAATGGACAGGAAAGATCGTATGCCATCGGGGGGGGCTAAGTCCTCCGCGACATACACTAATAGTCACCGGAGCGGCAGATCGGACAAGTGAAAAAGTCACACCGAACGACTGAAGATGCAAGACTATGGAGAGGGCAAAGAGAAGAGGCCGAACTTACAGTGATTCATTTGTCAGACTCCCGGATATCTGCGTTTTGTCGGTTTTGGCCTTCTGAGTTGATAGGCGTCTGATTGCCTCCAGGATTTCCCCTAATTGAGCAAGCACTCTAGTAACTCGAGTATCGAAGCTCTAGGCTTTCAAAGACGTTGATAAGCCTCTGGCCAGGTCAAACAGAAATCTGGCAGCCTCGCAAAGTGTTCTCCTGTTATCAACTTTGCGAGTATCGCAGCTAGGGAGATCTTTTCCGAAATACGCCTCGAACGGAAAGGCCTTGAATTGGCATCAAGGCTTCCGGTATTGTCAACGAGGGAAACAAGCCAAAAGGCTGTTGGCTTATTCCCAGCGGGATTATGGATTATCAAAACGTCTGCGACTTCCCTGTTAAGCGGAAGCTTTCCCTGGAACATGTAAGCGTCGCCTTGAACTGACTGCTATGGATGTCAAGGTTGCGAATTGATAGAACGGTGAGATGGGAGATTGGAGAGTATTCCGGGGGATCCAAAGCGAACAGGAATCCAGAGTTAATAGAACATCATAAGAACAGAGATCGGATACGTGAGTAGCCAACCATAAACTCGCTTCTCGCACGAAGTGCATGCATACTCGACGAGACTGACAGAATCTTTCGGCCGGTTGGACTGTCTTCTGGAACTGCATCATAATTCGCTCGATGAAGACATCGCTTCTTCCCTGGCAGCCATACATGATAGAAAAGATAATTTTTCCATCATCTTGCGGATACAAGAGTAGAAAGGAGGCAAGGCGTCGAACCGGCTGCATATTGGTGGAGAGATCCACAAGTTGACAAGAGAAGGCAGATATTGGACAAGAATAATAAACGAAAGGAATAAAGGCGAAGAGTAAGTTATGAAATATGGACTTACTCATTCAGTAGATGCCCGGCTGATGTATTAACAAAAATGCCGGCGATGAGCAAAATGTAGCTCTTCTCCCCGCGATTGCTGAGTGCTCAAGCTGCACGCATACGTAGACCAGTTGTCGCACTGTTCGGTCTGTCCACGTCGACAAGGCGGTTGTCAGACTGAAACCACCCAGTTCTCAACCTCTCACACAGCAAGATGGAGTAGTCCAAGCGGATTTCACAACGAATAGGTCGAAGAAGATTCAGGGTTGTTCTTCCAAGCTATCTTCCGAACCACTCAGTGGACGTTGAACGAAGACCGAGAATGGACGCCTATGGCCGGGGACTTGAGGGACAAGCTCGATAGATATTCGATTCCAGATACTGGGTTAAAGACGCTTTGCGCATGTCATGTTGTTTTCCTAGGCCTAGATATCCACCCAGGTGCGCACAACGCCCGTTTCTCCGTTTCTTTCCAGCCTGGCCCCTCTTGTGTCCAATAACAATCCTGGTAGACATGCGGCGGAGTCTCTGCAGAATCTTCGTTGCGTACAAGGCTAAATGACTTCAAGTTGCTGGATTAAGCTTGCGGCCGAGGAGTGTTCTCGCCACGAGATCTTGGTGAAATTGACAGTCATGCCAGGGTTAACAACATTCGTTGTAACCGAACGAAGGAAACTACACTGGCTGGTGGCAGTAGGAAGGGGTCCAACCGTACTCGCTTGAATCTTTAGATGCTCTCTTTTTTCCCCCCTTTTCCTTTTCTTTTTTTGCCCTTCTGTCATGAAGCATTTGTTCTCTTTTCCCTTATCCTTTTTGCCCCAGTTCTCCAAGGGGTACTGTCATGTCATTTCCGCAGCCTTGTCCTTCTTGTTATGTACGGGACGAAGCAATAATTCGGATAATGAACATTGTTGCATTATCTCATAGTGTGCATGTAAAGTTGGCCACTGTCGGTAGAACAGGTGCCATTGGCCAATCTGCACGTTACATCTCTCTGGCCCAAGCCCCAGGCAGACTTCAAGCTGCACAAACAACCGAGTAGTTCCAAGTTAGAGGTACCCTAATGTTGTCACAATCTGACTGGACGCTTGATTTGGTGGAATGATCTAAATAGAGTAATTCTAGTCAAGTCAGCTGTTCTTAGCGTCGATATCCGGCAAACGGCAGGGTGCAGCAGAGCAGAAAAAATAATAATAATAATAATAATAATAATAATAATAATAATAATGATAATAATAATAATAAGATGGAACTAGAGAAATTAGTAGCGTAGATCATCAACCCGGATATCCCGTGCAGACCCTAGTCGCATGATGGGGCCCTGCTGTCGAACTACTGGGCTTAGTTAGTCATAAGGGGCCAATAACTGCGGGAGTTGCAAAGAACGGTTCTTTGTGAAGCGCAGCAACGCTAGACGAGGCGAGGATATGCTCATGGCGAGTTAACAAGGTTCTAGTCTTCCCGGTGGAGACGATCTAAAATCTCTTAAAACTGGAAAAGTTGTCCCCTAGCACATTTGAGCCTTGGACACTTTTCGAGGCACGAGTAGGTCTTGCATGAATGAGAGATCAGGCGATCGACGGTCCGATCGAAAATCGCTGTTGGTTGATTGCTCACCGACACGACCGACAGCACCGAAATAGGTATGCAGCGTGCACCAGCTGCCATAGAGTAGAATCTGGAATGGTAAGAATGTGGTGCCAATCTCGAGCTGAACTGCCATCCAATGACCGAAGGCCGGCTGCTTTTCCATCGGCGGCTCCCGGGACAAGGTACTTTAGTTTCGAAAGGGTGTGGACTGTGGAGAGATCCATGACGCGGAAAGAAATAACCCATAGCTACTGCATACACACGGAGTGCACAGCATTGTTTTCCAGAAATTCGAGCATCTGGCCCACCAACAAGGGAACGAGACAGAAGACAGAAACTCGGCGTATTGTGGAAGGGTATTACGGGTAATCACCCTGGATCCTGTGAAGTGACCACACACACTGCTTCCTTTTTAATGAGGGATCATCTGGTGGCTGAATGATCATCCAGGCATGCAGGAAGCTAGTTGGTTCGAATGCAATTTTCATCGTCCTGGAGCGGATGACAAGGTCATTTCATTGGTGGAGTGCCAAGATTTGAGATTACTTGGTTTGAGGACCAGGCTGCGATAATAATGGAGGGGTGGGAATGATGTTGTGCAGGATGATGTCCCTGGACGAATCCCATAGTAACGTATTACCTAGTACTCCGTACAAGGGAGAGTGGAAGAGGAAGTGGGGAAGAGGTTGCATCCTCCAAGCAGGGGAAATAGTTTGGGGATTGTTATTGGGCGAGTCCCAATAATATTAATAATTGGAGCTGAGAACACATGGTTCTTGTGAATCACTCATATTCTGATCCATTTCAAGCAAAGAAGATCGGTGATGGTGGCGATAGTTTAATCAGATGTTGATGACGATAGTGGTGACGAGTATGATGGTGCTGCGGGTTGCTGAAAGGAGGAAAAAGAAACAGCAAGTAACTGCCCTGTTGTCTTCCACAAGATACTAGAGAGGTATGTCCAGCAGCTCAATGGAACGAGGGGGGTGCTCTGTAGTGTCCTCTTCCGTTACTTGAACTTCTAACTACTTCTGGTTAGTCAACTGGTAGTTTGCTTTTAGTTTCACTTTGGATAATAATATCAAACTAGTATTACGGAGTCTGACTAGGTACTACTTGATTTCTGATTAGGGTCCCATGGCACGTGCACTGGCGGAAAGTAAACAAAGATTACCTTAGGTAGTAAAATACTAGCCTGGACGGAATGGCTAGGTATGGGTGCAACCTTAGGTATCTACGGTAAGTACCTTATCTCCCAAACATCCATGGCAGCCTTTAAAATGACCTGATCAGCGTCTCTAAATTCCACGCTGATTATGTCTTCATTGCGAGCAATCATCATGACCTCATCTAGTCCTTTTCAAAATCCTGCATTTCATCTATGCTAGTGGTAAGATTGTTCCGGATGTCTTCGTACGTTCTTTCTCTTTCCCGAGTATCTATTGTTGGCTTTAGCATTTCCTTTGATGGATATCCTTTCTTCTCCAGTCGTCATAAGCGCCAAGAGTCGAGAACTCATTCTTGACTTTCAGAATTTCGGAGGCTTGACAGCCGAGAGATCCTGGTGGCCGCTCTATTGCTCTAGTGCCTACACTAACTATGGAGATGAGAAATTTTTAAGATTCCGTCTCCATGGGGTCCTCCACTAACCATACTTAATTTCCACTACGACTCAGAGTCTCCACTTCGCTCTACTGGATTTAGAGGTCCTGATGGCCTAGAAGCCTTTCTTCCAGGAGGCTCGGAGACCCATTTTACGATCCCTGAGAAGCCCAATTCTCATTAAGGTTCGAGCAATGCCTCAATTAATTCTTCGTTGATGTCTAGAACCATGGTATTGTCCATTTGCCCTTGTCGGAATGTGTTCAAAGTCCGGATCGTTTGGAAATGGCTAATTTTTGCCCATCAGGTACCTGGCAGGGTCGGAGTGCTCGGACCCTACCTGACTCAGAGCTCTATCTGTCTTTCAACGTTCCGTCGTCCATCTTTTCCAGCTCTATAGCTTCTTCGGTACTCCTTCTCCTGGTAATTTCCCCTGTGCAACAATAATGGGCAACGGAAGTGGAGCTGCAACTGGCCGGTGATAACAGTTGACCTTTGAATGGCAGTGATGGGTATAATGGGAAG